CCCCAAAACCCCAAAACCCCAAAACCCCAAAACCCCTTAAAAATCGTTAAAATTTGAATATTTAAAATGGACAAAAAACCACCAAGAAAGATGTGGAATAAGGCAGAGAAGAGCAGTGCGAGCAAGAATAAAGCATTCCAGGAAAAGATTAGCCTTCTTGACAAGGAACTTACCGAGCTTGATATTATTCTTAGTAACTTCTGCCTCCAGCATCCTCTAATCCTCTATAGAATCCCAGGAAAAAGGTATGAAGAAACATGACGAAGCATGTGATAAATATAAGAAAGAATGAATGGAGAAGATCCAAATGTAATTGATTCTGTTTTATCATAGAAATGAAAAGAAGAGGATCGAACTCAAAGAGATTAGCAACAATGCTGAACGACTAGATAACGAGACAGAGGTGCTGGACTTCAGTTTTAAAGATCCCAGCCAACTTGCTGATTTTGACCAGTCAGTTTTCTTCCCTGCACATCTTGGACCTGAAGAATCCCTTCAAAAGGAGAACGATGAGCCTGAAGAGTTCATAGTTCATGAAATCGGTGATGAAGATGAGATGCCTCTGGGTGAAGACTTAGGAGAAGACTCATTTTATAACGAAGAGCATAAAGAAATCGAGTTCGATGATATCCAAGACATCTTTCATAAAACTAAAGAGAATCAAGATGAACTTGGAGCTCCAGATGTGTTCACCGAAACTGTGGTACAAAACGTTCTTGAGAAATTCAACAAAACTAAGAAAATTCCTGAAATTAATGGGTTTTTGAAGAAAAAGAGTGGAAAAGTAAAAATCTGGCAGAAGAGATACTTCACATGCAGAGGGAATGAACTCTTTTACTTAAAATCTCCAAAAGATAGTATCTTAAGAGGATGCATTAACTTTGACGTCTGTGATGTAACTCTTGTTGAGAAAAAGAACAAGAAGATATTCGGGATCAAAATGAAAGGTCTTAAAAGAGAAATCCAGCTAAAAGCAGAAACTGAAGTCCAAGCCAGCTCATGGAAAGCAATTATCCAGCAACAGATCGACCAGAGTGATGGCAAGAAATTCTCTAAAGGAATTCAGGTGAAGAAATGGTGGAAAATGCAAGAGTGCGACTTTAATATTTTTCTCAGCACTGCTAGCTCAGGAGATCTGTTGATATATTACATGAGAGATGAAATGGTTCAGCCTGATGATCACCAAGATGATCTGTATCACTATGCTCTGATAGTAAAGTCTGTACAGAGCCAATTCCAATTCAATGTATTTTTCTACGACTGAGTTCTTTGTGACTACAAGTTGTGCTCTTTTGAAGAATTTTACCAAGAAATATGTGACAAAGGCTTTGACGATTTAATGTACAGAAAAGTCACTGCTTGAAGAGATGATGAATATTATGATCGTCAGAAAGAGTTCTTTGAGTGTGACCCTGAGATCCAACTTAACACTGCCAAGAAAGAATCTACCCAACTCTTCAAAAGAATGCAAATGCATGCTTACATGGAAGGAATAAAATGCTATTGCATGGACATGGTCGAGAACTACTATAAATGAATGAAGATAATGCCTTTAAACGATATATTTAAGGTCAAGAATGAACTTACAACGAAGAAAACCAAGATTGTCTCTTCAGTACCTATGAAGGTTACTAATATTTCAATCTACCTTGATATCCCAGGGGTTTTGGGGTTTTGGGGTTTTGGGGTTTTGGGG